ATGTCACACAGTCAACTACTGGTTCCCTCTGAACAGAAAGATGTCTTGAGGGAGTCCCTGTCTTTGTCTCTACTGATCAGCCGATGAGTTTATAAAGACAATGTTGACCTGCCTTCGTGAAGCCACCTAACATCTTGTCATTTCAAATACAGACCAAGGAAGATCTAACACTTGAAGTTGATTCTATCTAAAACGTCACGAACTAACTTTTCAAGAAGACTCTTTGCTTCAAAAAGTCGTCGACTTGCGAAGACCTGACACTTTGAAAGCTTTTTTTGTTAAAGTAAAAGCACCAACCAGAGGGGATACTTAATGTTGAAAAAGACAGTGAATGAGATTAGCTGTCGAGAATACTTGCAGCAGTAAATCGCTCTTCTAAAAACAAGTTCTTGTGACTGTCGGTCAACCAAAATAACTGAAAGTGATTTAAAAGCAGTGTTAAGTTGGTTTGTAGAAGTATTGACTTGAAAGTTCTTAAAACCTACACAATTTCTAAAACATTTGACGGCCGTGTTATTCGTCTTCCTAGATGAAGACGGCCATTTTGCATCAGTACTCTAGGGACCTAACGCAAAACCCGACGGCAACGGTAACGAGAACTTCGCCAAACAATCGGTTTAATAACCAATTTCCAAGGTTTTTTGGAGAACGTGAAGCACTACGGCTAATTTTTCGTATTTCTATTTGGAACTGAAGGCATTCGTAACATATTCAGCAGGGGCAAGTATTCATATCGACAGGCACACTGAATAGATCTAGATAACTGCGAATTGCAGACTGCCGTCAACCCCGGTTCGTGTAAAGTGTTTATTTTTAGCACTCTTTGTGGTGATTCGACCCGGACTGAAGATCACCCTGGGCTCCTGTAAAGAGGCCCTTTACTGACCGGCAACTGTTGAAACTACAACTTTGGTCACAAGGGTCGGAAAAATTCACTTTATACGCATTTTGCCCCTCCCCTCCCCACCCCTGAGCAATGTTGACAAAACACTTTCACTTAACACAAGTTTGCATCATACCATTTTCCAACATTGTAAGGGGGAATGGGGAGCAGACACTTATTTTTTTTCAAGGTATTACGGTTATGATTTCATGTGTTTGGCATTTTCAAACATAGTTTGTCCATGGTGGTAGGTTTAATCGATTGGTATGGACTGGAGATAGTTTAAAAAGCTTGATGAAAACAAGCGTTCAAGAAATTAAACATGTTTATATCACATCACCTGGTGTTAAAATACAATCCACTCTCTCCTCTTCAAAAATTGCTTTCAAAAATCCCATAGCACGCGTGCGCTGCTTCATAGCCTATTGTGAAACAAGAGTGTGGACTGAATCAGTTATATTGACATCATAGACACCGCTCAGTAGTTGCTTAGATAACACTGTTTAGATATCAACGTGAACAAATAACTGCTCGTCGTTAATTAAGTAACTGAGAGAGACAGGTGAAGATGAAGGAAAAACGACAGTACATATCTATCCTCGAGATCATCCTGTGATCTCCTGTCCAGCATGTTTTGCGTCCGGAGTTTAGAACTAGTCNGCGTTCAAGAAATTAAACATGTTTATATCACATCACCTGGTGTTAAAATACAATCCACTCTCTCCTCTTCAAAAATTGCTTTCAAAAATCCCATAGCACGCGTGCGCTGCTTCATAGCCTGTTGTGAAACAAGAGTGTGGACTGAATCAGTTACAATGACCTCATAGACACCGCTCACTCGCAGTAGCTGCTTAGATAACACTGTTTAGATATCAACGTGAACAAATAACTGCTCGTCGTCAATTAGGTAACTGAGACAGACAGGTGAAGATGAAGGAAAAACGACAGTAAATATCTATCCTCGAGATCATCCTGTGATCTCCTGTCCAGCATGTTTTGCGTCCGGAGTTTAGAACTAGTCATTGACCACACGCAAACAGACAGACAGGCAGGCAGGCACACAGAGACAAAGACAGGCAGACCGACCGACAGATAGAAAGACCGCCAGGCAGCCGATCTAGGCAGGTATCTGATTGTCCGAGGTTTAGTCATTGACCTCACGCAAAGAGGTAGGTAGGTAGGCAGGCAGGCAGACAGGCAGAATTACGCGCAGACAGAAAGACCGTCAGGCAGCCGATCAAGGCAGGCAACTGATTGAGTTGGGCTGGAAGAAAGGCATGCAGACAGACAGAAAGATAAACACGACAGAAAGATATGCTACCAAGCAGGCGGAGAGACAGACGGACGGACACACAGACAGACAGACAGACAGACAGACAGAGAAACACACAGACAGACAAATAGACAGACAGACAGACAGACAGACAAGTCTCACCTGGAAGTAGTCACGGGCGTTCAGCATTCTTCCAACGGCCAAATTAGAGGTAGATTCGGCGTTCTGTAAATCAGCATTCAAATAGAAATACAGGTATTACTTTCTGTAAGTTCATAGTTCGCATTCCTACTTCTATTTTCGACTTCTGGGAGGTAGCCTAATTGATAGAATGACAAATTCCGGATCAAGAAGTTTAGCCGTTAATTCTTCTCATGTAGTATTTCTTATGTTGACAGTGTCACTGTCTACAGGGATGTCAATTTGACCAGACGGTTAAACTGAATACACGACAGCACTTGACATTATGTTGTTATCATTGCAATCTGATAAAATACCATTTCATTGTAGTATTTATGAAATTCTTCCTCCATTCCAGTCGCCATTTCGGAAAGTATGGTGATTGCGTGAGCAGAAAGAGTTTCCTGAAAACAAACATGGGTAATCAATTACTATCTGATGGATGAGGATAAAAGGTCGCACGCACTGCATAAAAACATATTTCTATGTGCCTTCTGGGAACCTAGCCGGCTGTCGTTCCCTTTAGCAAATCTTGAATCCAATTTAGAAAATACTGACTTTTCGGATGTTCATACTTGCTAGTAGAGTATTGTAAAAATATGAAAAATCGAAACTAGAAAAGGACCCATTCTCGTGCCCAGATCTTAACTGCCGGTTGCCGTCATTTAGGAGGAAACAAGAAGAAATGGAAAAGGAATGGATTGAAGTGTCAGATCTTGCGTCTCTTTAGGGAACTTAGATAAAGTACAAGTAAATCAAATGCTAACCTGCAACTCTGGAATCTGAATCGAGACAACCAAAGCTCCTTTATCTTTCAAATACTCAACAGCTGATGGGAAGAGAATGCAGTTGTATCAGTGACGTATCGGCAAGCAATAAACGTAGGAAGCTAAAAACTTACACAAGCATAAGGGAATGCTCAAAACAAGTGGCTACAAGTGGTAAGGAGCGCCACAAGCTTACCACAATCCTGTTGTCATATCAAGCTCCAGTATCCATATTATTCTAGAGCTAGTACCATTATCGGCCCCTTTCGCAAGCTACCTGTTATCATTTGTCCAGACAACATCGCTGACACTTTGTCCTGGAACCCATTTATAAGTTGGTAAGGTGGAGAGGCACTGTGAGAGGAAACTGTCTTGCGAAAAGGCGCAACACAACAGGCATGTCCAGGGCTTGAACTCATATTTCAAGACTCCGAGTTCAACGAAGAAACAATGAGGCCACCGCGCCTCACACGTATATAAACAAAAGCTTCCTTTTGGCGCGCAAATATGCTCCAGTTCTTGTCCGCGGACATTTGCTTTTCCGAGAAGCGAACAGTTTTGTGGAGCGAAGCTCGAGGAAAACTGTGAGCTTTGAGGAACAAATAATATCCAAGGACAAATATCCGGGCATATTTAGTTTAAAGTCAAATGGAGGCTATCAGACGGATTTAGGATGATGTATACGAGTTGACAGTACATTACCTTTTTCGCATTGTTTGTAAACCTCTGCATCGCAGTCCTAAGAAATAAGATAATTAAAATTAGCAGAGCGGTTTTCTGTCAAAATCTAAAAACTTTTGTTTTAATCATTAACCTTTTACAGTGAACGTTTCACCAACGAACTTTTATCAGACATTTTTTTGCCCTATGTTAAACAACCACACACAAAAAAGTTACGGTAAAACTAATGAAACCAAAGAAAACCACTCTGTTTCAATTATAACACAAAGTTCGCTTTTCGGTTCTGCAATTATCATTTGAGGTCCTGTCCACACTACGTCGGAGAAACGTAGATTTATTTCAACCCTACCGTCCACTCTAATCCGTCACAAATACGGAGCTTTTCGAAAACGCTCTTCAAACCGGAGAATTTTGGAAACGCCGGCTTTGCGTCTTAACGTGGACGGAAAACATTTTGGAAACGAAGCTTTTCAAAAACGATTACGTTACGATAATCATGCGATTTCCCTCCCTGCCCGACTTTTCCTCAAACACAAATCCAAAATGACCGGTGATTGCTGCATTTTCAAATTTCTCTGGCGCAGTGTGGACGGAAAAGATTTCATGCGTTTTCAGAGCGAAAACGCCGTTTTCAAATTTCTCCGATGTAGTGTGGACGGGGCATGAGACCCACAATGTTCACGTGAATTTGTCCGCCAACAGACCAAGATGTAAGTCTCATTTAGCTAAAGGTCCAACCGACTAATAAAATCAAGTTACACACAGATCAGCGACAAACAAGCAATTCCGGTCGAGTCCCCGATGGAGTTCGCTTAGCTCTATACAGGTTCAGTTCAGAAATAAACAACAATTGATACCTTAAAGTACTTCCAGTCTACTCCAAGTGTAACTCCCTCAAGAGATGAGATGTTTTCAAATCCTTCCAGAGTCACTTCTGGTTGCCCGAGCGCTATCAGAGATTATTAACGTTAGACATGTGGAGAAACATTGAACAAATTTGACTTTTTTCCTCGACAAACTACTAAACATTACCCGAATTAATTTCACTGTTTATTTGTTTCATTGCGTTTTCTTTAGTTTGTGATTTAGTTTAGACATGCAATAGTTTAATACAGATCTATACAAAGTATCCAAAATAACGTTTTAAAAATTTTGTCAACGAGCGAGAGAAGAGGTCTAACAATATGCACGTCGAATTATTTGTTGAAGTCAGTGTATGTCTTGGTATGCCATTGTAAGAATACCGTTGAAGTTCACGCGTGTCTTGAGTAGATTCAGCTTCCTTCGCACGCAAAGTATTTGAAAAAAACGTGATTCTTCTCCTGGCAAAACTTCACGTGATCTGGAACTTACAGTTTCCACAGCTTCCCAGCAGCTCTGTTTACTAAGCTCTGTGATTGGATGAAAAACTCGTGCAAGCGTGCCGAAACCAATCCGAGGAGAAATGTATTATTTTCAACCAATTAGGAGTAGAGCTGAGACTACTCGCGCCGTGAATTACTCGTGTTTTTCCGCGCACGGAGGCAGGGGGTGTCATGCTCTTGAGTTTTGTAACGTTGCTATCCTTGTCGATGTGACTTTTTTATTTTTACTATCGTGATAGAGAAACTATTCTACCACATAGACTTACTCTTTGGGTCCTCTTCGTCTTCTCCTGACAGGTATGCTGCAAGAAAGGGAAGCAGGCGAATAAACGAGTTTATAAATAATAATTAAACTTACATTGAATTACAGGTATAAGCTTACTCTACGTCAAAAATTAGAATGGATTAAAAAGTTTCTGACATGTCCGACACAACTTGCCACGTCACTGTCAAGAAGGCTTAACTGAATGGCGCGACAGTTTCCGTCTTCGAAGATACGAAACGTCGATTTTATAGTTTAAAATCTTGAACGCTGACAGATCACAGTTTCAGCTGAATACTGGGAAGACTCGAAGGGGCTTGTGATTACTTACCGTATACCAGGGCGGCATCTCTAACAGTCGCACAAAGGGGCCCTGTGAAATACGGTATGGAGTAAGTTTCAATTAAACTACTTAATTCATAAAAATCGGAACACCACAGTGATTTCATGTGGCACTGTTCACTATCGTACACATGGTGATTCTAACGTTTAAGACTGTAGATTGAACCGTGGCGTGTGACCATTCAAAAGAAAGCTATTGAGCAGTACTTTCATGTGATAATCTTTAGATATTTAGAAAACTCTTGAAAGTCGATGTTTCGTATTTTGATACTCTCACGAGGTATAATGGGCCTTAGAGGTACAATCATGATGGTCTAACAAACATTAAAGCTATATAAGCCGGATTTTACATGTTTACATCAGGACTTACCAGCATAACTGACAGTATGAGCTAGAGGTACCTCGCCACTTGTACTTATGCGGCCACAGGATGCTAAATCAAGGAAGTGCAGATAAGGTAGTTAAAACAGAATTTGGTAGCGTACAGGGTCATCGATAAATTTGTGATGCAACATGGGGACACAACTGATTAGTAATAATTATTGTACATGAAAATTGCAAGGATTACCATGTGGCAAGGTAGTCTTGAGGTAAATCTGAGCGTACTGATTGGTTCTTTCTTGGTCGGGATTTTGCCAGACGGTCTCAGTCATAAGCTGTGTGTTTTTTGTTTGTTTTCCGTAGCTGGCAGATTCAAAGCAAGCAAGCATGGCCATATAACAAACTACCTACTTAAACCTGGCTTGCTCAAGCCACACTGGGGAATATTGGCCCTTGTTCATTTTGAATGGACCTCGCTGCACTCAGTCCGTACTGCCATGACCTAATGCAGTGGGGCCATTCAACTGTCTTAGGTTCTATATGACACACTGAGATTAATATTAAAATATATCACAAATTAACTATGGTATGCTAGTGGCAGGACATACATACCTTTTATCCCTACTACTCCACATACTGCAGCAGGAATACGGACAGAACCTCCTCCATCTGTGCCCAATGCAACTGGGCACAAGCCTAGAAAAAACAACAGCAACAGTTACCTACCGAGTGTCATGGGTCCACAATGCATGCAAATGGCTACAGCGACATATACCCATCTGCATGCATTGTAACCCCAGCATGCAAGTATTGCTAGTTAATAACAATATCTTAATTTCTTCACATTTTTAAAGCATAAGACAGGTGAGAAAAATAGCATGCCATAAAGTAGTACCTGGTACAAGGAGAGAGGTTATCCCTGGTTAGAGGGTTAGCTTCAGCTTCTCCCACTAGATGGCTTTCAAAAAAAATTGGCCCATGCTAACCAAGTGAAGAATTTGCCTTCACAATTATGTGCAGGTTCTGTGAGTCCTAACTTGTCCCAGGTAGGTGACTTTGAGCCTTACATATCCAAAGCAAAGACAAGGAAAAAAGTGTTTCTCTCCAAAAGGGTTACCCTACCTGCAAAGGGAGTGACTTTCCACCCAGAGTCACTGCCCCCAGAGTAAACTTTGCTGTGATTCCTCAAGCAAAGAGTTTGCTTCACTTAATAAAACATTACTTGATTACACTGGTATACCTGCAGCTACTGCAACAGCAGACCCACTTGAACTTCCTCCAGTGTAATAATTCACATTGTAAGGATTTCTTGGAGTTCCATGAAGTCTGTTCAGACAAGGATGAAAGTAAAAACTATGATTGTATTTGCTTTAGATACAATCGAACCTCTCCACAAATATGGCCACCTTGGGGACAGAGGAAAGTGGACGTTGTAGAGGGGTGGCTGTTATAGGGAGGTAGGGGGGAATATGACACCTATTTTGGAGGGGATTGAGACACTTTTGTTTTAAAAAATGCTTATTGTAGCATATAAATACAGAACGCAATTAAGATATATCAATAAAACAGCAACCAAACAGAAACAGAGACCATTGATTTCATTTACCTTTAACACTAAAAATGGGGTTTTGTAATTACACTGTTTGTCAGTTGTTTATTAATTGGCCATTGCTAAGAGTTTTTTGGCAGTTGGAGCCGCTTTAGTGACTGCTGCTGTTGTGGAGAGGAGGCCGTTGTAGACAGGTTAAAATAAGAGTGAATGTATGGACCATTTGCCGGGACCAAAGAAGATGACCATTGAAGGGAGGTGACCATTGTAGAGAGGGGGCTGTTATTGGAGGTTAAACTGTAAAACACTTCTAGGTTTTTAATCCAGGAAGTTACAAGAAATAAGCCTAGGAATCTCTTGCAAACTTCCAAGATTCACTAGTACATTCAAGTGGTAAGTAACTTTTTTTTTAATTGAATATCTCCTTGCTCTGGCTTGACAGGTAACTTTTGTTTTTAAGCATTGTTTTGATTTTTAATCTTTTGATCGTAGATTAGCACCCTGTCTAGGAGAAGTAACAAAACCCCTAATCTGTTCATGGTCTGTAAACTGGAGTTATTTATAAGACATGGTTTCTTGATAAACTAGGCTTTGACATGACATTGTTATTAAATTTATTACATGACTGAGATCATAACTGCATTCTGATTGGCTGAAAGCAGCAGACCAATTTATCGTAAATCTTTAATTTGCAGAGCAAATTAATGCGCACACGTTCTTAACATTCTCAGTCGTATGATAAACAAGTAATCATATGAACGCTCAAGAAGTTACATATTTATTCTATTTGCAATATTTGAAAATTCTTGAATTGCACCCGTGTAATTGAGAGAGAGTTTTAGAAATCACGAGTAGTGTGAATCCTTAATGACAATTTTATTCATACAATTACTTGCACTCATTAACCAGCACTGAAAAATGTTACTACCTGTTTGGATTATTTCCTGTGGTACCAATTCCCAATTCATGCATGTTAGTCAGCCCAATGATTATAGCTCCTCCATCTCTCAACTTTTTCACGATACCAGCATCCTTTGTTGATGGCGTATTGCCCATGAATGTAGTACCACAACGAGCATAATATGGCACCTTAAGAATACCATGGCAACTCAAACTTAGCATATTGACCACTGCTTGGCTCTTGGAATGATTTGGAATGGTAAAATAATGCTTAATGGAGCACTTTTTCGCGGTTTACAAAGCCTCATCTAAACAAGAGGGAGGTTCAGAGAATTTGAGACAGTTATGCAAACCAGAGACACAGTTGAGGGTTTGCATAACTTTTGAGAATTCTCCCAACAACCTAAGTGTTTAGATGAGGCTATATGTAAACACACACAAAAAAGTATTATATTGCTTTTATGAAATATTTCTTAAGAACAGGGCTGTGCTCTAGAAGTGCCTGGTGCACAGACAACTTACTTTTGCCTTTGGGCGACTGGAAAAACTTACTTTTTTCATATAAACTTATTAATAAGTGCTGGGCAGCCAGGATTTCATGGCTAGGAACCTTTGGGCTCCTTGTAAGTTTTCTTAGACCACAGCCTTGTTTAGAATAAACACATCGGTCTAAAACTTGACAATCATGTTTACAGTATACTCTCATGTAAACACACCTATCGACCAATGAGAGCACACTTAGTGTTTCAGTTATTTTAATAATAATTCCTATTGGTATACTATCTTTCTTCCCATTCGGCCATAATTTGAGAGCTGGGAACAAGTTAGACAGCATTTCAAGCAAACTGCACACATCCTCTTGTCTCTTTGTCAAAATCCATCCCCACAATTCATTGTTTTACTCTCTGACAAATGCCTGCAGACTGAATTTGTCTTAGCTACAATATTTTTTGTGAGCAACTATGATAAATCAAAGTTACTTTTAACAATAATACATCTTACCACATGAAACTCCTCTTTCACAGCCACAGGAATCCCATCCATAACAGACAAAGGATTACCTTCTGCATACCGCTTAGTAGATGCTGCTGCCATCTAAAAAGAAAATCAACATGGAAGGCCAGTTGGTAAAGGAAAAGTAATAATGGACTACTAATATTGACTTATGCATGAATTAATGTACCTAAAACAATACACATCTGAAAAGTCTGGTAAACGGTCCAAGATATTTGTTTCATAGAACAGTAGGATCTTGCCTTACGGCCACCCTGTTAATATACTGGTCTACTACATATCCTCTTCAGGCCTATGGGGACTCCTGAGGCCTGACCCCATTGATATGGCCCCGTCATTATTACAGCCACTTTATTCTGGTCTGAACAAAAGCTCAGTCATGAACTCCTTTAATACGGCCACCCCATTACTACAGCCACATTTTCTAGGCCTGTTAGGGACCGAATTAAAGGGGTTCCACTGTAACCAGTAAGTACACAATCATATACCTTTAAAATTTCATCTCTGTCATGCTGGACAATGGCTCTTAACATGGGACTCTGTTTTTCAGTGTCCCTTATGAAGTCAATCACTCTTTCTGCTATCTGCATTGGAGTGACAGAGTGGGACCTACATTGATCAGACAACCAGTAAGTAATTACTAACATCTACAAAAACACCACTCTGAAGAAGGAGTTGTTCATATTTTATATCTCAGCGACCTGAACAATGTCCCAGATCTACAGTTTTTTAATGAATTGGACAAAATATGTCACAAACTCATTCCCAGGGTCTCCCTACTTCCCACCCCCTAGTGTGCACTGGGGGTGGCAGTGGGGAGGGGGGCAGGCAAAAGAGAAAACCTGAGAACAAGGTTGCATCTGTCATTGCTAAAAGAGAATTTGGTACTGTACCATGCAAGGCAGACAAATTAAAACTGTCCCCTTAGCTTAGTTTTGTTGTCAAATGGGCATCTTCTTATCACAGGCAGTGTGGTTTTGTCTCAAGCCAACAAAGAACTTAGAGATCTCTATAGTGTAGATTAGTACGTTTACATGTACTTACCTATACTCCCTCACCAGGTCTGGAATGGTCACAAACTTGAAGGACGATTCCTGTGATTTATTACTGCTGTGTGATTAAAATGGAAAAAAAAATATTGTAGCTAGTTAAAAATGAGAGGTCAGAGCATTACATGTAGTTACCATTTACACGATGGTGATAATCTGTAATATTAACACAATTAAGCATAATGTAATACATTTGAGTGTGTTTTTACCTTTCCTCAATCAATTTGTCAAAGTCAACAGGTACAGTGTGGCTTTTGGTCTGAGGAGATGTCTTGGGTAGTGGAAATAGCGTTGGTGCATCTGGGATTTTGATTCTCCTCAACAAGTCCAATCCTACCTTGCTATAATATTAACACAGTTAGAATATGGCGAGAAAACTTAAACACTTGAGGAAGAAAGGTTGAAAAGCAGTCCCTGGATCTCACGGAATGGAGAAGCCTTGTGACTCACTCCTGCTGGCACTGATAACTCTGCTTTGCATAGTATAAGTAGTACAAGGGTACTCCAGGGTTCAAGATACGTTTTCAAAGCAGGGTACATGACAAGGTCAATTCCCACTGCACCCACCAAATCATTATAAATTCCCTATTAATTTGTCGGATCATGCAAACAAATCTTGTCCAATCTTGTCAAATCTGATCTTGCCGGGTTTCTGACCTGAGATCCCTCACTTGTCTGGAACAATGGTACTCCACCCTGAGTGTGACGCTAGTCCACAGCACGTTACCCCTTCCCCTCCCCCACAGAATTTTGTCAGAGGATACGCTATTTGCCACTAGGATTCCATAAGCTGTTGCTGCTGCTGCAAAAGGGGAAACTGCAATGGTGTCTTGCTTGAAAGCGCATCACAGAGATTCTGCAGCTTCCAAAACTATCCACCCTGCGGTCCAGTTTAGTCTGGGAAATCATGTGAATGCCAGTGCAATCAAGGATTTACAGTAGGAGTGATATTCTCAAAATTGCACGAACCTTTTGGGGAGTGCAGTTTGAAAGAGTTTTCAAATATCAAGAGTAGTGTAAATCCTTGATATATTGCACAAGCTTTCATACGATTACTCATTTATTATACAACTAAGAAAATTGGGAATTCAAAGTGCACACGAGCCAAGTGGCTCATCAAGCCGAAGCTTATCCCAGTTTCAGTAGCATGAAGTGACCAGGAGTATTTCTCCTCCCCCCTGGATGGGATGCTAGTCCATTGCAGGGTTACCCCCAGCATTAAATTTGTGAGTACCAATTTATACACTGGGTGGAGAGAGGCATTGTCAGAGTAAAGTGTCTTGCCCAAGAACACAACACAATGACCCCAGCCAGGGCTCAAACCTGGACCGCTCACTGTGGAGTCGAGCGCACTAACCATGAAGCCACCACACCTCCCAACAGTGCAAATTAAGAATTAATGCTAAATTAGTCTGCTCTCAGCCAATCACAATGAAGAAATGTTCCCAGTCATATAATAAATGTCAAAACAATGCACATGCTTCTGAAACAAACAAAACTCCCACCAGTCACAGTGCATAGCTTGCCATTCAACATTGCTGATTTTGGTGTACCATCTGAATTCATGGGTGGTTCATGCAAAGGATGCAGTGATAACAAATTCAAAGATAAGAGATTACTACAAACTGAACAAACCTGACAGATGATCTTTTCAAAGTATCTCCAAGACCCTGCAAAATTGATGATTATAAACACTTATTACTGGTCAAACTAACAATAATTAACATGTTACAATGAAAAGTTGCTGTTTTTCTGGAAAAAAGGAATGATGACACCAATAAAATTTACTTACAGTTCTACCAAGCCATTTCAAAAAGATTAAAGGTTTTCCAGTGAAGCTTGGCAAACTGGCCGCCTGAAATCAAACAATACTGCATTGCAGGTAACGGTATTTGTGGGGAGGTGGCACGGCTGAGTGTTTCAGGGCACTGGATTTGAAATCTGGAGGTCCCTGGTTCAAATCCTCCATCCTCCCGCTATCTGGATTTGNAAAAGCCGTTCACAATGCCTTTAACATCACTCTGAACCAGGGATCTAATTATAAGGCAGGCCTGAAACAGGGTATTGTTTTAAAGGTCAGGTCTTAAATAGGATATAAATTTTTTGGCCAGATCATAATTAAGGTAGGGAATTGCAGATTTGGTCTAAAATAGGATAAGGGTTTTTTGTTACTGTGCCCTCCATCCAGGCATTGACTTCACTACATGACTTACACTGCTGTGCACCAAATTATACTCAATGGGCTGATCCGGTTTGCCAAGCTGTCTCTCAGCAGACGGGGGTGTCGTCCAGATAAAATCATGGAACATCCACAGCAAAAACAACAATCCTACAACTCCTGAGAGAATGGCCAACATACTAGTGACTTGCTCAATCCTAAAATTATATAAGGTAATTATACTAAAAACAAGTTATGACTTTTCACTTACTAAACAGCCCTGGGTTTAATTAACCTTGTGTACATGAACTTGGGTACATGTACATAGGTACATGCAGTGAAATTTCAAAAAATTGTCGTGCAATGAAGCTGACTGAGTCCCAATGTACACGTTCGTAATTTAGACAGGCTTCACCAAGGATGCCGATGCCTTCCATAAAAGAAAAACAACTCAGAAAAATGGGCTTAAGGATGGTATGCACAAAGCTGGGGAATTGTTCCCAGACAGTATTTTGAAGCCTTGGAAGGTAGCCCTTTCCCAGCTGCGGCACACCCGAGGAATGAATCGAAACGAAAAGTATTACAACAGCAACAACGACATTTTTCCCAACTTCGCGACCATCGCAAATCGCTTTATAAAAACTTGCCTGCTTGTTGGTCGATCTGTCGCGTATTGAGTTGTACTGACTATTGATATCCTCCTCTGCTCGTCCAACTGTCTAAGGGCTAGCACTCTTCAGTTGAATGGATGGCAGGGGTACAGATTAATGATCAACCAGTGGTCGACCAATATCAACTGGATCCTGTTCATGAATCAAGAATAACTCACACTATAAACACTGGGTTACCTATCCAAGCTTATCCAACCATGAAAGTATGGAAGAACTCGTGTAAAATTAACTTGGACCAAACAATCACCTTTGTGAAAATATTGCAGTGCAGGTTGACCCTTAGAATCAGGCTGGGCTCCCAGGGTTATAACAGCGGGACAGAAATTAACCGCGAGGGGACTGGTATTGAGTGATCCGCTGTTACGAAGAACGCGTTTGGTGCACAGTTTTAAATTTTTCTTTTACAATGAGTTAACAAGACTTAAGACATCTATGTAAAAATCAACGAAGATTGTATAGGTGAGTCTGTTTCAAAATATTTTGTAGAGTACTTTAGTCGCAAAGGTTTTGCTGAGTGTGAAATAACGATATTATTCAGTCCAATTTCACATCTCGACATAGAAAACATCGTGCAAGTTTTTCTTTGTCTTTGTAGAGCTGTTATTTTTTTCACGTCACTGGTGAGTTTTACAGGTCTTTACACCGAGTATGAGCCTATCCAAAAAAAGCAGACACTGTTTCAATCTGGCCTGTTGTACAACTTCAGTGCTCTTTAATTTGCGCTTTTACTCCTCAGGGGTTGTACTCCCACAAAAATTGGGTGGGGATGTGCAGACTGCTTCCCAAAACCCGGGGGGAGAGGGGATTCCCATATAAAAATGACAGGGGTGCTGGTCGTACCTATTAGGGGTTAAAAACACGGTTTTGGTACCTCGCAGGGTGTTAAGCCTCAAAAGGTCCACAGCAGGAGCTTTTACAGTACCTTTAAGGGTATTGAAAAAATATGACAGGAGATAATGTGTTATGTAAGAATTGATACCTCTTAGGGTAGAAAAAAATTTCAAGCCACCCCCAGAAAAGTGGATCTTGGTAACTCTTAAGGAGGTCTTTTCAAAATTTCCAACCAGCACCCCGTGTTTTTTATATACAGGAGTTCCCCCCCCCCCCCAGGCCCAAAACCCTTACCATACTGAAAGTGAAGATCAAAAATTATCTGTGATTTTTGCTAGCCTATTTATGACCTGACCCAAAATTTGATACCCTATTAAAACCTGACCCTTTAATCAATAGCTTGTTTCAGACCTGCCTGATAGTTAGTTCCCTTGTTCAGACCGATATTAAAGGCATCGTGAAGGGCTTTAATGTTGATGATCTCATTGATGATGATGAAAAGTAGCTTCTTCTAAAAACACACCCAATTCAAGACTAGAGTGCAAAACCCATACCCTATTTCAGACCAAAATGGTCGAAATTGATACCCTATTTCTGACCCAAATGGCCAAAAAAACTTACTTATAAGGGAACACCCCTGGATTTTGCTCTTACTTCCTGGGGAATTTTTTAAGACTTTTTCAGAAGTGCAGAATGGAGCCTGAATCAATAACTGGATCATTTTTCCCAGCAGGGGGACTCCCATATAAAAAGGACAGGGGTGTTCATCGGAAATTTTGAAAAGAACCTCTGAGAGGTACCAAGGTCCTGTTTTGTGGGTGTGGCTTGAATTTTTTTTCACCCCTAAGAAGTACCTATTCTAAAACAACACACTATCTCCTGTCATATTATTTTTTCAGCTCATTACCCTAAAACGTACCACAAAAGCTCCTGCTGTTGACCTTTTGAGGCTGAACACCCTAAGAGGTATGTACTATAACCGCATTTTGTTAACCCCTAAAAGGTATGATGAGTACCCCCGCCCTTTCTATATGGAAGTTCTCCCTCGGGGTTTTTATGAGATGGAGTAGTTAACACCATACTCAACCCCAACCTGGAGGGCCACAAGTGCTGTAGTTAGTCTGTCCTCTCACCTGAGACCTGCCCGGCTTAGTTACACCTGCCAGGGGTTAAAGCCCCTGACGACATAACTCTCAGGATCCTCATTTCACTCAAGCCTCACCACCAAGACAAGGTCACAGCAGGAGGTTACGCTCAACGTTTTAGTTCCAAGATACTGTGTGACTATCGAATTCCCTGGTAACACTGAAAGAAATTTTAACTCTCTTCCCAACAATCTTCTGAAGTTCATTCTAGTTGGAAAGTCAGTACAAATAGTTAACTTTGCACTTATTTATTTTTTTTTATATTTTTCAGGATAAATCAATGTTTCTTGAGTCAGTCATTTTGACCACCACCTTGGTTAATTCACATTGTCATATTCTACTTGATAACAGTGCCAGAGCAATTTTTGTTCCTTACATGTGGCGTCCAAATCAGGAATAAAAGTTGACTATGGTTACAGGCTAAAATTCATCAAATATGGTGTCCAATTTAAACTGTCTACCTTAGAAATGTCTTTTTGAGAGACGATATAAAAGACGATACAATATAATCTAGATGACAAGGTGGCAGGATCAAATCTTGCCACAAAGAACTGTGCTGATAGTCATTAATATTGCACAGTTCTTTTGTGCCAAAGAGAATAGAGAGTAATGCCTGATGTATAAAGTTCTTTTACGTGATCCTAAATTTACTAGCATCTCAGTCTTTGACAGTTTATGTTTGTACTAGCTGGGAATTAAATTTTTTGGCAATATTTTCCTCAAAGTACAAAAAATATGATATATAACTTTTTTCACAGAGAAAATGTGTGGACAAAATCCATCATTGGTAACTGACTTTAAATGCATCTTAATTGCTTTCTTGCAAAGATATAAACTCTGCTTATCGCCATGGAACGAATATAATAACTCAACTTCACAATGAATTACATATTAAAGTGTTTTCAAATATTTTACACAGCAGTAAATCTCTATGGGTTACAGTTTATGATGAATTTGAAGTACACCTGATTATCTTGGTTTATAGATTTCACAATATTAGTCCCAACAATTTCATTGATATAAAACGATTACAGTGTATAATTGATATTAATTGCCTGGGACTTAACATTTTGGAATACTGATTGTAAAAAAGCGACTGGATGCACGTTTGGTGCTGGCCTTGATTGTTGAAGACTAGCTGGGATAGTTGAAATATTCCACCTATAAATACATTCCCTTTTGCCACAGAACTTCCCTCTCATGTTCAGTTAAGTTGTTTTCACCCAAGAACGGTAGTATTTGGCAGCAAATTTTTTCACTGATTCTTAAACGGTCTCACTAACTACATAAAAGGACCAAGAAACTTTTGAAAGTCCGTGAAAATTTAAATTTTGTCCAGGGGATCGTCTGTCTTTGTTATTTATTACTAATAATTAGTATTTGCCATCGCGTGACATTTCAAAATTGGAAACAAAAGAATGTGTCATCGCGAAGCTAAGATCACGCAACGTTAATTCTTTAGGAAAAATAAATAAAAAAAATGATGTTACCGCATGAAAGGATTAGGTGGATTACAATCTAATTATCGCATTTGAAAGAACAAATTTCAACACTTCAATTTATTAATTCTTGTATCGTGAATGAAGTTTTTAATCGGCTTGTTGATTTCCTCACCTGACAGTCTCGTGTTCGCGTCTTCGTTCCTTGATCCCCGTTATATAATCAAGTCGCTGCGGCTGCAAATTAACATTCAACTAGAACGAACAACGACTGATCGGTAATCGATTCTAAGATTTGAAGGATTTAAAAAATCAAAAATTCGACTGATCTACAGTGGTGACAGCGGTGACAATTTGCAAATGACAACAGTGACTTTCAATTTCATTTTCGTCGTTTGCTTTCCATTACAGAAGGGTTTTTTTTTTTGACGTCAAGCAACCGTACATCGTTTTCGCCTATTTAAAGCGGGAGACAAAACGCCGATTTTTCCCGTTACGCATCGACAGAGTCTGTCAATTGTGGCGTTATTTACAATGTATTTTATGCACACGGTCGAAAGTAGACAAAACAAACGTTACTCAAAACAATATCAATGCTCCTTGTAATACGTTACCCTTTGATCAAACTTCAACTATTGATCTGTTTCTTAAAACTCATCGCTTATTTTCAGGCATTTTAACTCATAAATACACGATTTAATCCGAGATAAAATATAAACGCCCATCATGCATTCAGTAAATTTACGTTTAATTTTATGCCGTTTGGGTATAAAATATCATTGATATCAACTGTGTGTGTCCATTAGCTGGTCTGCAAAATCAATACACAGGTGTTGCATTTACATTTTTAGACTGTTCATTTGCTTTTTAGGTTGATCATTGTCTCATGTACTGACTGAAAAAATCTCCCCCTTTGTAAACAACCCTACTGAAGGATCTTTCTCCGGAGGGATTATTTCCAAGGGACATTTGAAGACATCAAAATAGCGCCTGGTCGTAACGTAATTTTTGTATAAAATTCTAACCTTAAAATGTTGCCACTTGCTTAAAACTAGGCATCCAAATTTCGATCAGTAAAAGTTCAAGGTTTAAAAATTAATTTTCGACAATAAAGATACACATAACGAATGTACCCTCACAGGAATCATGTAAGAGATCCGCATAATAACGTTCCGGTATGCTGCGTGCGCAGCGTTTATGTCCCTAATGACGTCACGTCCTCTCTCCTGTCATTCAAACACGTGCTGACTATAGATGGCTGCTACTGTGTGAAAAGCTTTGACCGTCGGCGAAGCTGAAAAGGCGGTAATTTTCTACAACGTTAAACTTCGTCAGACAAGCCCCAGCAACACGTGGACGTTTACAAACAATTTCGGAGGCTTTGGAATTTTTTTCCAAGTCGGCATGGTGTCGTAAAAAGTGTCTTGGCGCTGTTGAATGGCGCAAACCGTGCGGGTCCATGCGAGCAACGGTGGAACAAGCGGTAGTCGCTTACAACATCCCAATAAGGTGCCTGTATCGAACACGGAACACACGAATCATCATTTTAAATTTCCTTCATCGGGCGGAGATTATTTCCCCGACCCTAACTTCCGCGAGAATGGTTCTAGTACTACGCTAGGCTCGCAAAATCAAGATATTTTGGAAGAGCTACACGAATATATTCAAGGTCCTGACCATCAGAGTAACAACAATAATAAGGCAAATTCCTTGACCAACAAAATGGCGACGTCGAATTCGAGTGGAGCCAACCAACCAACAGCAAATGCTAATGGATTTCAAATGTCCATGAATTCATCTACGGGACTACCAAACAAGAGCGGATCGCTTGGTTTGGGTCTGCCCGCCTCCGTACATCTAAACAATCAACTTTCGTCAATTCTCGACCCAGGAAGTTCGACGGCAAGCCCGGCCGTACCGTCTAGAAATCTGAGTGAATCGAACCCTAATCCCGCAAATATGAAACTTTTGGCATCAAATCAGCCAGCTTTATCACCACAAAACCGGTACAATCAATACAATCCGAGACAGGAAATGCTACTCCGAGGCTATCGCCAAGTTCCCATCGCACCTAGAGCGCCGAACGTAACCGAACAATATGGCTCCCAACAAAGGTTCATGTCTGCGCAGAGCGAAAATCAACTTAAAAGAGGGTTAAATACTCAATCATCGAGCGCTTATCCTTCCAGTTATTACGCTCAGGACTCGAGCGCTTCTCAAGCTGGGCAAAGAGCGCCAAACTCACAGCCAGATGAGAGAAATATGATCACAAATCAACATTTTCAGTGGCAGCAGAACAGACTGCAGACGTCGAACCATTGTTCGTCAAATTTACCAACAAATACTTCTCCCGGCCCGCCGATGAGCAGGGCACAATTGCAGGTAAGTGCAGATTACAACCGTTAAGAGATTGTTTATAGTTATTGGTATTTTAGGGCGTTTGCCGTTTCATTTGTGGGGAGATTGGAGGGGCAACTAGCCTTCCAGTGAAAGCAGACATAACTTACGTTTAAAATATTTATCATCAGAATATTCATAATGGCGGACTCGAACTTTGTTTGAAGGCGATCGGATTTCACAAACGCGATCAAAACGCTACAGAGCGAGTTGTGTGGTTGTGAAAGTGAATAGTTTCGATTCCGAGCGTACAAGTTCGAGCCGGCGAAGATATTTTTTGTGTACAGTTTTCTATACAATTTAAACTTGGTTCACCACCTGTGAAATTTATCTACCTGCTCGCCTGATTGGCTGTGAATGTGTCAATTTATAAATAATTGCAGACAGCTACAGACACAGATCACTCATTGGTCTCCATAGGATTAATGTGGAGAACATTTTATTGACCTTTCATTTGTGGAAATATTAGGGTTACACATGTCTTTGTCATGTTGCCTTTTGTGTTGTTTGTCATTAGGCATTGTAAGTGCATTTTGGTTTATTTAATTTTCTTGAACAGCTGAGACCTAAAATTGGGTTATTGTATAGCAAACAGAGCATTGCATGACAAGCTACAGCTTATGTATCTTTCATTTTGGCAAGTTGCATATAATTATAGTTTCTATTCTTGCTGTGAGCCTTTTTGCCCATCGAATTAGACAGCTTCCCTGAGTTGTGCCTATTAAATAATGTTTTGGGACTACTGTAATGATTTACACAAGTTTTTGAGACAGTAGCACAGTCCTGTTGTAAGTATTAATTGTATTATACTGTATTGTTCCATGCAAGTACCATCAATTGTATAGTGTCTGGAATTTATTCTGTACCATTTTTCTCTGTGCTGCCAGCTTTAACACACAATGATGAAGTAGTAAACGTTCTGGCACTGTGGAAAACAATTTTGAGGGTAGCAACTGCTTGTTATAATAATATTCTCTGTAGTATCTAACAGCATATGGCCCAATATACAGGATTTTTTGTTTAAAATAATTATCTTGAATTACTCCTTATGCGTACCCCTGTTAAACATGCAACCGTTGTTTTTAGTCTTTGGCAGCAGAATTTGACCAGTTTTACACATTAACCATGGTTCAGTTTTATCCTTGCTCAGAAAGATTAAGAGCACTTGTTCATTGATATTCCTTCAGTTATATTGTCACTGAAATTTGAAGCATTATGTTACGTAAGTCTTGTTTTGGTGTGCATGGTCTAAGTTGCCTTGCAGATGAAGACCAATGTTTTAAACTTGGGCCATGCTAAATAAGTTCAATGTCCCAACCTTGCTTGCATAAGCATTATCTCCACATGGGTCATTTGCTCTCATGACAAGAATTTTAATGATGTTTAAAGTTTCAAGGCTTTCTAGGTATGCCTTATAATGTAAGATTATACCAGTTTTTCAATCTGGGGCAAGTCTTATCTTGCTGCTCCTGGTGGGACTGTCACTGGGGTCAAACTAAAGGGAAACCCTTCCTGTCACCAGTTATTGGCCATCAAGTGATTGTCAGACAAGTTTTGCGTCAGATTTGTTCTCATTTGTTTGGCGGTGAATGCAATAGTAATTCACTATCAGCTACAGTTTGTTGACATTTTGTCACTTTAAATTTCTCAAAGGCTGCAAATCGAATTAAATTCTTTCTCTAAAATAATGTTTTTGTCTTAAGGGAAGTTTTCATCACTGCACAGTAGTCGTCTTTCCTCCAAATTTTTGTTGTAGTCATTTGATTATTTTCTCCAGTAGCTTTCTCTGTACAAATTGTCTATTTTTCTTTGGACTGGCTATTACCAGAGTACAAAACTGTGGTTCATTATACAAGCATATAATTATATGTTTGTTAATTTTTGTCAGATATATCAATTTATACAAAGTGTTTATTATTTTAGCACAGTTATTTGCTTTAGAACTAGGTTGGCCGTAAAGGTAGTACAAAAATATTTTTACGGTAGAAAAATATTTTTTACAGTACAAAAATATTTGTTACAGCTCAAAAATATTGGTTGCAGCTCAAAAATATTTGTTAAAGTGAAAAAAATATTTATTATAAACTAGAGAAATAGTTAAAACAGTACAAAAATATTTAATGCATAATAAAAATATTTATAAGAGTAGCTCATTCCTTTAGGCTCCTCATGGAGCAAAGGGCAGTACAAAATAAATATTTTGGAAGCATTTATGACAGCCCAAGTATCAAGTACAAATAAATTATTCCAGTAAGTACAATAATGTTTTTTTCATTTACAAATCAGATGTACTTTTTATTTTCATTAGCAATGTATTTTTCTCCGCACAATACAATCTTCTGTTCACTTCACTTTCCCCATTCTTCTTTGCTCTCTTAGTATTATTCCTGTCAAAAAAAATGGCTACATCATGTCAGTGTTGCACTAGTTTTTGTACAGCAGGCATTCAGTGAAGAGACTCTTGCTAGTTCAATTACTGTTTTATTGCCACTAACCCTACTTCAAGTGTTGCCGCAGTTATTTCACCTGAATGACGGTGTCTGCAACTTTTGGTTTTTTTATATATATATAAAATCCCCATAATACATAAACACACTAATTTAAGGACGTTTTTAACAATTTTCCAAAGATTTCCAACCACTTTCAGAAGATTTTCCAAATGTTGTCCAAAGGCCCTATAAACGTTTCCGATCATTTTGAAGAACGACAAAGGTAGCCAAAGATTACTGAAAACCTCGAAAGAAGATCTGAAGATGTTTCGATCATACACCAACAGATTTAAGTACAGTCAAAGGGACAAAATGATATGAAAAAGGATATCGCACATGTGAGGATAAAAATGATATCAATACATGTGGGATAGAGTTTTTATCGATTTACTACCACTCGATATACCACTAAGTTTTATATAATAAAACAAACTACAGGGCTGCTGCCTAACAGGTGACTAAAGTTTTGTTCAAGGAGCCCAAGTGGGCACCTAAACATGGAGTTTTCATTCCCATCTAATCTGTCCAATGACTTTAACCTTCTCATGAAATTGGTCAAAAAATCATTCACACAATAAATTAAACAGGAAAAAACAGCTTCTCTGGTCCAAAACACGGCAACAAAGTCTCTCTCCGCTCACAAAACAGCCGAAAAAAGCTATATTTTGAAAATCACTCTTTTGAGTATTGCAAGCTCAGTATTGGCTAAATATACGTCATGTATGCCAATGGATTGTGTCTCTGTTGATACGTTACTCATTCTATTTGCAAAATAACTACTTCGATACCAGATATTTTTGGAATTGGAGTGATGATGCTGCTGACATTATATTTACAATTGAATGTAGATAAATGTGTCTAAATTCTTGGGCATTTTTTGTCCGATACTTTGGAAAACTTCACTTAGATGTACTGAATGAACTTCTTTAGTTTCTGAAAGGATTATTTACGACTTAAAAGTCAAACTATTCAAGTAACTAGCTGGCAAAAAGAAAACACCATTGCAATTCTTTTTGCATACTAGGGTTTATTTATTTCAGATCAAACGAATTGTTGTGACTCCGCCCAATATACAAGAATATATTTTCTCCAAAGAAGCGGCCAATATGATGCAGTAATGCTACCTCAAAATCACCTTCAGTTTATACTAATGTCCCAAGCAGGGGAAGGAAAACACATTTCAGTGAAGCCAAATTCAAACCTCCCAAAAGCCTCTTTCATTTTTATTTGTTTCATTTGCAGCTCGCATTTCATAATTTGTACAATGTATTTTGTTTTGTTAAAATAGAAAACAGCAGCAGTATAAATTTTTGTAAAGTAAGCTGCAGCCCTGGCACAGATATACACCAATTTTGTTGAATTTGTGATCGTAAATAGTATTCTTCCTCAGTCATGACCTGATCACTTTGCTGAACGCTTTATTTCAAAAATTTGATTGATATTAGACCATATTATAGTCTCATGGAAAATCTCTGCCCCCCCTGACCCTCTCCCCTAAATTTCCACAATTCGCTCCAAACCTTTCTCCCTCCCCCACCCCACCCCCCCTCCATCTTTCTCAACCTCTCCATCCCTCCAGATTGACCACAGAAATTTTTACCCTGGGCTCCTAGAAAAGTGGCTTAGGCTCCTAACTTTTGAAGTGAGGAGCCCAAAGGGCTCCTTAAAAATTTCCTTGGGCAACAGCCTTTAACTAAAAGCTTTCAGTTTCCCTGCATGTGTCACTAGATATGGACACTGTCCAGTAGTGATTGTTGCACTAAAGTTTGCTTATATTTGGATCCTGCCCTGTTAGCCAGAGTATAGAGTGCTGGTGGTCCTTCCATAGATTGAAGGGAACTTTCTGCTTGGTGAACTAATGTCTTTCAAGATTTAATTGAAAAGGGTCATCATTCCACAAGGATAGGGGTTTCATTAAGGGCCAAGCACCAGGCAAATTGAGGATGATTTTGCCTGCCTGGTTTTGACCATTTAGTGGAAAGTTTTTCTCACTAAGAAGTTCAGTTCAAAAAAATTTTGCCCACCGGTGAAACCAGTTGTCCTCTTGCTGAAAACATTAATGAAACCCCTCCAAGAAGTTGTTGTTGCTCAGGCAAATTCTGCATTTATGGCAACATGGGTTTGATCTTGAAGCCATTGACCTTCTATGATTAGCCACCATAATAACCAAAGTTCTAATTACTGACTTGTTGTACATGAACCAGTACAGGATTGACTTGAAGCAGCCTTGTTGTCTTGTCAGGAGAACAAAGCAGGATTTTTGCCGTGGAAATAGTTTTTATTCTGGGTACCAGAATACCATGAAAACTACAGTACATCCGATTTATAACTGAATAAACATACTTGTGCTGGAATAATATATTTTTACTGTTAGTCGTGAAAAACATACCTCCAGAATATTTTTGTGTTGTACTTTTATAAATATTATTTGTACTGTAATAAATAGTTGTGTACAGTGTCTATGGGTTCTAAACCTAAACCACACAGGCAATTAACAATTATTGTTTGATTAATCAACTGGTAATCAATATTGTTGATGTACTTAACATAATTTAATATTTGAATGGGATAAAGCTGGATGGAACAAAATAAGTAATCAAAATGTGCTCTGGTTTAAACTCAGTTTTTCTCAGGCTTTAGTATGTGTTTCTACCATTTGGACTCCAAATTGTCAGAAGCTATCTGGCTGCTCTTAGTTTGAAAGCTGTTTGATATTAATTAAAGTGTATGCGGTAAATCAATATACTCATAAAGGCCATTTTGACTTGGCAAGTTAAGGAGCACGTAACATTCTACACTAATATTGAGACTAATTTTACTTTAGCAGCCGGGAATTCCCCAACAGCAATCTCCTTATATGATGATGGGTGGCTCACAACAACAACAGCAGCAGCAGCAGCAGCAGCAGCCGCAGTCTCAACAAGCAACCTCCCAGCAGCCATTTGCGCCATACATGATGCAACAGGGAGGCATGAAGGCGGGAGCTATGCAACAGCAGTCACAGCAGTACTATGGTAACATGTCAATGGGCAGACAGGTTATGGGACAGTCTGCTCTCCCAGGACAGCCTCAGCACTTGGGGAATCAAATACAAAAACCTCCACAAGATTATGCAAGCTTTCAACAACAGCAAATGCAGCATAGATTTCCTCGGGGAGGCATGGAGGTCAGTTTAATATTACAGAGGTCATCTTGTGCTGGAAAGGCTTACAACCAGAATTGAACGAATGACCATCCTATACCACATTTGAACCTAGTTATATGGCCTAGCCTGGTTCTCAAAAGATTTTATTGCCCAGTGGTGTCCAACCAGTCTGGGGGAAGGTTAAAAGTTCAAGTTCTATTGACCGAATTTTGGAAAAAATTCAGAGTAGCCTTTTTCACCATAGAACAGATTTGTCTATTATGTGCCTTGAAATTCCTTGTCTTCAATTTTTTCCTGCAAAATTGGTATAAACTGTGCATTTTACTTGCATGTGTTTGTGTTCGTTTCTATGGAACAAAATTTTGCAATGATGCATCTCTATCTGACTCGCATTATATTGTCAAATTTCAGCCTCAATATCCTCAACAAATGCCTTACATGCCTCAACAGCAACAAAGACAGCCACAGCAGCCACAACAACCACAACAGTCATACCCACAGCCTCCAACTGGAATGGCAAGGATGCCGTCCTCTCATCCACAGCCTATCCTTCCCAAACCATCCTCGGCAGACATGTTCGGAGCCTCTGCTGGTCTACGGTACACCAGCAACAATGTAGCAGATAATTTACCAAACCAGGAGTTCCCCCCTAACAGAATGGCAGCTGACCAACAGCAACATGGGCTACCGTCAGCATCAGCATCATATGGGAATTCCCCCTTGGGACGGATGGGTGCTTCTTCAGACATGCTGGCAAAGTATGGCAGTGGCCAAGGTGCATACCAACGTGGTAATCCTCCACCATTTCCTGGTCCTCTCCACTCCAGGCACACGCCATCCCCTATACCTAACATCACTCTGGGGTCACCTTTGAGGAGTGTGGCTGATGGTGAGTAGCACAAATTAGTAAACCTTGGGATATCAACCAACATGGTTTGCCTCTAATGTAAGTGCTTTAACGCACATTCAAGTGCAAATATAGTGATATATAGTGTTTTTCATCAGTGGAAAGTTTATCCTCTGAGAAAAGTCAAGGTAAAACTAGTAGTAATCAGAGATTACGAGAGTGCGTCCGACGCTCTTACCTTACTATATAATTATATATAGTAAATAAATGATTTCACTAGCTGACTTTCAACCTTTGTCTATTGCTAAAATCAACATTTTTCAGCAGCAACCGAGGTTTTACAGTCAGATATGCATAG